AATACTGTCTTTGCACGATTCGTCAAAATCTCCGCTGTAGAACCCCACACTATCACTAATAACATCTGAAGCGAAAGACTTTGGCCCCTTTCTCTTTTCACAAACTCCGACGCCAATAGGAAAAGAGAAAACTATATTCGTTGTTATAATTTCATCGAGGGCGGTCGAGATCGAAGACCTCAAATCGAGGGTTCGAAGTCCAAATTTCAAAAAATCTTTATTTGGAATCGTCTTGTTCGATCTTTGGTAATTACTCTCTCTTTCTCTCTACAGTGATTTATCGATCTTTTTTAGGTCTGGGCTTTTACAGATCCTTGTTTCGTTCGTTTTTTGGATTCAATTTTCAGTTGTTGGGATGGTTTGTTTGAAATTCCTGTGGAATTTTTAACACTTGCGTTTTCGTCTACTTCTGAGAATCATTTGGTTGATTTTTCATATGATCTATAGATATTATGATACTAATTTACCTGTGGATTTTGATTGCACGATTGTCAATTGTGTGAAATCGGATTTTTTTTTTTTGGTTAATTGGACATTGAATCATGGTTCATGTGCATGCAATTCTAATGGCATTCAGAACAATCTGCTTTTCTTCTGGGGTTCTCGTTGTTATTCATAAATAAATTTATCGGAAATAGTTTCTTTTTGGCTGCCTGTAAGTGATTATTTTTTTGGTGAAATTGAATAGCTCAACAGATTGCCCTAGGGTTTTGATGCTCATACGTCTTATAGTTTCTTTTTAGATTTATTATGCCTTAAGGTTGCTCAAGCCATATTAGGATTTTCTTACAGGATATATTGTGTGCTCCTGTGTGCTGTTGTGAACTGTTTTATGATGTCGACCTTATATAGTGGTTTGGGGCATGGGCTGGAGATGTTGTAGTGCAGTGTTGAAAGTATTGACGTGGTTGAGGCCGAGGCTTAAAGATTTTGACATAAGAAAACATAATTTTCATATGGCTGGAATCTGAACTTGGCATTTTATGCTCCCACCATGTTAAACAAAAAACAACTCTACTTGGGCTCTCCCATTGCCCAGGCTGTGCTTCCTATTGGCTTATGTTTGGAATAAACAGCAAACAAGGTATTGTGCTATCACATATAAGAGTTTCTATAGAGTATTACTCTTTGGGACAGAATTGGTGGGTGATTATGGGATTGACTTCACATCTGTGTGCAACTTTGTCTTTTCCACGTCATTTCTATTTGGGTTGAAAACACACACCATTTCAACACTTATTGCATGATTATCGTTGATTAGTTAATTCCTTCTGAGATTGTACCCTTGTCAGACAACATCACAAAGTTCTTGTTCTATGGTTAATCACCTACCTTAATACAAATCCTTATCTGGATATGCTCTTTGTCTTCAAAGTTTATGTAGATTAGCTAGTTTATTTTGAATTTTTTGCTATTGATTGAATAATGGGCTGTGTTCCTTTAACTAGAAGGTACCTTCTTATTTTTTCTTGATGATGGATTCCTCTTATTTTTTCTTGATGATGGATTCCTTTTAAGTATGGAGTTTTATATCAATATTCCATTTCGAGAATTCCTTGGAAATCTATTATTTTTCTTAGTGATGAGCTGAATGCTTGATTTGTTTTACAGGCAACAGATTGTAGTTTTTGCTGGTCAAAGAAGTAAAGGAACTTTTTGTGACATCATCTTCCGTTGAAGCTGTGAGATGGCAGAGAAAGCATGTGTAAAGCGCCTTCAGAAGGAATATAGAGCATTGTGTAAAGTATGCTTTCTTCTTGCTCTGCCACAAGTTCTTTGATGTACAGTGAGGTTATTTATTGAAACATGGTGTCCTTATTCAGAACTTCATTTGTGATTCTTTCTTCCAATTAGATTTATAATTGAGAGATATAAGTGTGCTTCCATCAAATGAAATATGTCAATATTTGGCCAACCCTAAGATTTCTGAGATCCTAATTGTTTTTCTACTCCCTCAACAAGTTAAATCAGTGGGCATCATTTTATTATCTTTCTCTTTGAAACACCTTGATATAGGGATATTGTTTGAACTAATAAGGAATATTTAACGTGCCCACGCTTACATGCCTTCTTCATGACTTCTGCACTCTGTGGATAACTGTAGCAGGGAACAGATGACGTGTTGTCTTTGAGTCTTAGTCATAACCAAACTAGAATAGTTGAGAATTCAACTTTCCTTGGCTTTTTTAACTTTTGTTACTAATCTTTTTCTTGATAAGAAACAAAACTTTGATTCATTAAACGAATTTTAACAAGATAGGTGGACAAATGATCCAAAAAAGAAATTACATCAATAGACCAACCATGTAATCTTGTAACACCACTAAACTTACCCCAAGGATTAGAGTTTCGTTTTGGTGCATTATTTCGGTCACCTGAGAAATGGAAAGGTTTTAACGTGATTCGGAAAGATTTCGATCCGTGTCAGAAACATAATAAAAAAAATAAAAAATTTAATAATTATTTCTCCAAAATGTTGGTCAAATTATACCAAAATATTTTGAAATATCTGAAATAATTGTGCAAATACACTAACACATTATAAAAAACACCTCGAAACATTATAAAACACTTCGAAGTATTAGAATTTTGATTTCATTACTAATTCGTCTCTTTGAAAACAAAAACGTTTTGACCATTTCGAATCGAAATTTTGATCTTTGACCTCTCCTAGCTACATGCATCTATCCAATCAATAGTAAGAAAGTAAAAAAGCACATCTTTGATTCTTTAGACGTCGAGGCCCACGGGGACGCCGAAAACTTTGCTCTATCCCAAAGAAACTCTATGTTTTCTTCAATTTCCATCCACACCACCTAGGGGTGCAACTTGGGTTGGGCAACCTGATTTCAATCCGAGTCCAACCCGAAAAAATTAGGGTTTAGGTAAGGGTTTTTAATACTTGGGTTGGATTTGGGTCAAAAAACTCCAACCCGAATTCAATTTGGATTAGGCTCGGGTTAAGGTCTCGTGAACCCGAGTTCAACCTGAACCCGACAAATTAAAAAAAAAATATATATATATATATATAAAGCATTAAGACTAGTTTTTCATTTTTGTTCTATCGTTCTTTGTCTTTCTCGTTCTCTTTGCCTCTCTCGTTCTCTCAGCCTCTCTCGTTAAAAACTTGGTTGAAGTTATTGGTTATTAATTTAGGTGAATATTATGTAATATATATATTAGGTTTAGAACAACAAGCCTATTTTGGGCTCTACCTGAATTGAACCCGAATTAAATCCGTAAAGTAACTCAAAATCAGTCCAAAATCATCAACTCGAATTCAACCTGAGCCCGTCCGAATTAAACTCGGGCAGTGCTCGGGTTGAGTTCCCCAATCCGATGTAGGGTTAGGGTTAGGGTTGAAGATTATATACTTAGGGTTGGGCTAGAGTTGATTGTCCAACCCGCTCGAGTTGCACCCCTAACACCACCCATAAGATTGTCATAATTACACATTTCCATAAAATGGTTCCTTTACAACTTTTCCCAAACATACCATAATTTATCTCCAAAAGAGAGAGAATTTCTCGGAAACACCCAACGCAATCCAAATTCCCTCAAAGCTCTATACCACAATTTCATTATCACTGGACAATGGAGAAAAATATGGTCCACACTTTCATTAGTATTCCTACATAAAATGCACCAATGACTCATGGAGACTAAATGAGTCATGGGACGCTTTTACACCTGGGTTGAATATAATTTGGACAATTACATAATTATCTACCCTCATTTGTAATATAAAAGTAATTGGGAAATGCATTTAGTCCTTCCTTGTCATTGCCTTTTATGGTATACATGAATGCTCACGGCCTTAAATTGCTGGGTTTGTGTAATAAATTCACAATTGCTTAGTTATTTCTAACAGCCAAATTTTGGGGATTTTTTTTTTTTTTTTTATGTTGGCGACTTCATGTATCTGCTGGAAGGCAAGTTTTCATTGTCAAAAGATCCTTAATAAAGTCTCTTTGTGCACTAGACTTACTTTCTTAAATAAAAAACCTTATTTCGTTGATTTTATTATTTGGTACAAGGTTGTGATATAATATGCTCATGTAATAATAGTAGTATCAACAGGAAATAAATTAGCGAAGTCCCTAGGATGGGTTGGATATGTCCAAAGAATAAATAGTTGGTAGGCCAAAAATATCCCTGAGCGAGGTCATAAATAAGGATACTAGTGGAAAACATGGTCCCAGACATAACACAATCACCTAACAAGATATATGGGATGGATCCAAATAGTTGGGACAAGATTTTGTTGAAGTTGAGTTGATGCAATGTCATGAAATTATTTTATTTGATGGTTTTGTAGTTTTATCTCAATCCAAGTGTTGGATTAGAATTTAGAAACATAGTTAATGCACATGACAGGTGCCAAATATTAGATGTATCTGATTGAAACTATAATCATGCAGATAACAGATTCCAAATATAAGATGATTCTGACACCTTTAGGCGTACTGTCTAACCTTGAATAAATAAAATGAACTAAAATTTATGGCATTGTAACTGTTCACCACCAATTGAACCCGAATTTAGTAACCCCATTGGACATTGGAAATTCATGAAATCCAATGGTAGGACTGAAAAATACAAGCTCACAATGTGCTTTGTAAATATTATAGGGATCTGATTGAATCTATAATCATGCAGATCACAGATTCCATGTAAGATGAATCTGACACCTTTAGGCCTATTATATAGCCTTGAATAAAAATATGAAAATGAACCACAATTTAAGGCATTGTAGCTGTTAACATCCAATTGAACCCTAATTCAGTAACCATGATGGATAGTTGGAATTCATGAAAGCCTAGGGTAGGACTGACAGATATGAGCTCCACATAAGGTAATGTAATTTGTAAATATATCCCTATTTTACACCGTGCGTCATGAACATGTCCTGTTGTTTTGTCTACACTGAAACTTTTTGGCAGTATGTTCAAGAACATAATATGATCTTTTGTTAGTCTATATTATCCTATTTGTGCGATATGGCTAGTTTGTGGGTGATTCTATTGGTAGTTTTCGCCTATTATCACTTGGATTTGGTGAGTAATAGTGTGTTCTTTGAACTTTTAGGAACCTGTTTCCCATGTTGTGGCCCGTCCTTCTCCAAATGACATTCTCGAGTGGCGTAAGTCCTTTTCACGATTGTTTTATCTAGTATGGGGTTCAAATACTCTCTCTCTCTCTCTCACACACACACACACACACTCACACACATTCACTGGTTATCTACTAACATGCTTTTACTTCCAAAATATATTTTTCCAGATTATGTATTGGAGGGTAGTGAAGGAACAGCTTTTGCAGGTTTGTTGTTTTTGTTATTGGTTAGTGGTATTTTGCACTGAGCATAGATAGTGCTTTGTTGGGTTTAGTTTGTCATTGTTTGACTTTTTTGGTTCTGATGATACTCAACTGATTTGTTTTGATCTTTAAATGTCATCTACTCACTATGATAAGGTGGATATTACTATGGAAAGATCAAGTTTCCTCCAGAGTATCCCTTTAAACCACCAGGAATCAGGTTGTTTAAGTTATGGTTGGAACTTTTCTGATTCTTTAATAGAAGTTGTTGGCCAGAAAGAGTACTTATCTTATTGCTACCATTTTTTATGTAGAAGTTATTAACTAGAAATCTTGCTTTCTTTTCCTGTAGCATGACTACTCCTAATGGACGGTTTATGACACAAAAGAAAATTTGCCTGTCAATGAGTGATTGTAAGTCTTCAAAGTGACATGGATTTTGGAATTTTTGTACTTCTATGAGCATTGATTATGTTTTCACTTTCTCTGCATCAAATTAAAGTCCATCCAGAAAGTTGGAACCCGATGTGGTCTGTGTCAAGGTATGAAGTTGCAGTCAATGAGGATGTTAGTTCCCCAGTCCCTTCTTTTTTTGTAGCTTCTTGTGCTAACTTTTTTGGTTTACTGTATTGCAGCATACTTACAGGGCTTCTTTCATTCATGGTGAGTTTATTGTGCCTTTTGGGTATATATGAAATTGTGTGATTGAATAGTAATGGATTTTCCTTTTGCTTCTTTGGGAATAGCATTTTTATATTTGTTTTTCTTGCTATGTTATTCACTTATATTTGAGTTATGCGGTTTTGCTTAAAGTTTGTGGCCCAAATATTGGAAATGGCCAAAAAGTTGATATTCTTACCGAATATGATACGTATGAAGAAAACTGTTTTCCCTGCAGAGCATAGCCTATGAACCATCTCCTTTGATCAATTGCTACAATCTTGTTAAATCTAAGGTGTCAAAGTAGGAAATCAGAGTGTGGTTAACAGTGCTTTTTATACAAAATAGTGTTAATGTTTTGATTTGGTTGAAGCATCTACCAAGTTTCAATTGCACGTCCAACCATTTCTGTCTTGGTTCTTTTTCTTTTTCCATGCAGATGGACAATAGTCCTACCACCGGCAGTGTAAATACTACTGTGGTTGAGAAGCAACGGCTTGCAAAGGCTTCTCTGGCTTTCAATTGTAAAAAGTAAGCTGGCCTTTTGTCTATATGTTTCGTGAAATACACAATATAACGCTACTATATTTCTCACATTAGTCTTTTTACTCTATTTTTTGGACGGACACCTCAGATTTTGTGTGACATTTTTTTTTTCTTCTTTTCTGTAACAGCCCAACGTTTAGGAAATTATTTCCGGAGTATGTGGAGAAGTATGAACAACAGCAGCTCTCTGAGCAGCCTGTTCCAGAGCAGTTACCATCAGTGCCAACTCAAGAAGATAATTCCCGAAACTTGTTGGAGAAGCGTGGTAATTTGATGAGAGAGGAACCAAATAGAGTAGAAGCCCCCATAGACATGAATAACCAGAAGCGGAAATCTTTTCCAACCTGGGTCCTGTTGCTGTTAGTTTCCATTTTTGGTATTTTAATGGCCTTGCCTCTGCTTCAACTTTGATATTCCCACTATGAGGGAAAACCTTAGGATGCTTGGTAGGCATAGCCGCTTGCAACCTTTTTTTGTGTTTTTTTTTTGTTCTCACTTGCTGCTTCAATAGACTTCTTCTCTTTAATGTTATGTCTGGGGATTGTCATGTACCTAATGAAACTTGTATAGGGGTTGTGCTAATGGAGGACGATCAATTATACCTTTAGGCCAAGGTGATTCCCCTTCTATTTTACTGTTTTGCAGTTTCTTTGGTCAATGTTGAAACATTACATGCTTGTAATGTTTCCTTGATTGATTCAGAGTTTCTGTTGGTTTCTGTTTTCTTGATACTTCCACCTTTCTTGTCTCTATGAGACGTGGATCCATGAAAAATTTAGATCTGGTGGTGCAGCCTACAGATGATGCTTCAGCACACTGGTATATTAGTTGCAGTTGGCCTTTGTTATGTCTGGCTTGTGTGAGTTTACTTATGGTATTGATGGCTGCTTCATTTTCGGACAGGTCATGGTATAGAAAGTTAGTATTACACATTTTTGCAACTTGAAAGGGGAACTACAGGGTTTCGGGGCCGGGATGAGATGAGCCTGTCAAAAACACATTCATTTAAGTGGTCTTTGAATCATATAGAAGCGTTCTAGCATTTGTTGTGCTTGACTTTTACGTGTATGAACAACTGAGTCATCTGGTCATTCTGTGTGTAGGGTTGATATTTGAGTTGAGTTTGCCGAGTTCTTTTTTTCAAATGTGTTTAAAAAATTGTTTTTATTTGGCTCGTTTTTGAGTCGAGCCGAGCCGAGTTAAGTCTGAGTAGTTCGACTATATAAACGAGTCGAGTTTTGTGAGCTCGAATCAAGTTTAAAAAAACAAGTCTAAACTATTGTTAGTTTAAGATTAGTTCGTTTAGAAAACAAATTGAACTTAAATTAAGTTCAAAATGAGTTAAACTCAAGTCGGTTTGATTATCAACCTATTGAACTTAAATTAAGTTCAAAATGAGTTAAACTCAAGTCGGTTTGATTATCAACCTAACCTTACCTGTGTGGCCTTGAAGAGAGAAGAAACATAGCAGTTGGCAGTGGTTGCAGTCATATGGTACATGTGGGTGTGAAATTGACAGGCGATTTTTAATCTTTGGCTCATGCATTGAGTCGTCTATGTGCATGTGGGTTATTAACGTGTTTGAAGGGGTCTTCTCTTTCAGTCAGACAGGATTCAGAGCTAAACCTACCAATGCTGCCCAACAGAATATTATCATGACCACACCTCCATGTGCTTCCGTTCGTTTACAGCTGAGTTAGTGAAATTATCATCAGAAAGGACAACAACCCCCGTCTTATTTTTCCCTACATTTTTTTTTAGGTTTTTCTTTCTACGGTTGATTCCAAATATATTGAATTCATAAGTTGCCGACAGCTTTTTATAAGGTTTCAAAAGATTTTCCCTCTAATATTTTCTTTATTATTTAATTATAAATTACTTGTCCACCATAAAATCAAGTGGGATCAGTTATATAAGGAAAATGTTATACATCCCAAAACATTTACTAAACACGTGTCTTTATCAAATGAGTTGGCACCTCTAGATCATTCTTGGATCCATCAAAATGCTGATCAAAATATTTTTAATTGGATATAAAACTACCTACTCATTTGGTAAAATTATTTTTTGGTAAGTATAACATTACTTATTATATAAATAATTTTTTTTTGGTTCGACAGTCAGAGATTAGTTTACGCACACTTCAACTAATTCCCTCTCCAGTCCGGTCAAAAGTAAGTCATCCATGCTGCGACTATGATTTTCATGAGAATAAAATTCTTTATGACCTGATCTTAAAAAGTTATCAAAATTTGACTTTAACACGTCTGTATTTACAACTTATATCTGATACCATTTGAATTACTTTTGAAATTTATAAATGATTTTTGTTGTCCAGACATTGTTAATGATCTATTAATAATCGAAACTGAGAGAATATATTAAAAAAGATTTGAATCTGCCACGTTAATTCCATTTACAGTTATATATAGGGTTTTCAGTTGGTGATGGAGTTTCATTTACAGGAAAAAAAAAAAAAACAAAAAAAAGTCCAGGCTTAATGAATTAAATCTTTTGGATTAGGAGAATAGTGGAATTCGGGTTATTATACACATGAGCCTCCTGTATTATGATGGTCTTCTCTCCCACTCTTGTCGTGTGCTTTACAATCTACTTAGGCGCCGCTTAGGAAACCCCATTTCCCTCCCAAACTTTGAAAAGCTCCTCGTAATCTCCGAAACATGCGGCGAAGAAAACGCTATTTTTCTAATTAATACATATACATAATGATGATGATTAATTGTCTTTAAATCTACTTTACTTAAACTATCACGTATTAAAATCCCCTTTAATTATTACTAGGGTTTTTTATATTTTGCACCTTGAAAGATTTTAAATTTTTTTTTTGTATTCTCAAAGATTAATTTTTTTATATTACACCTATCAAAAGTGTTGCAATGTGGTTATTCTGTTAGTTTTTCGTTATTTTTTTCGTCAAAAGCCAATCAATTGACACTGACGAAAAAATTAACAGAAAGTTAACATTACAATATTTTTGATACATTGAGAGTATAATATGAAAAATTTAATCTTTGAGGGTATAAAATAAAAATCTTAAAATTTTTTAAGATGCAAATAGTAATTCGTCCTCGTTAGGATTTATGCAAAGTACCTTATTTATTCCCTGCCTTTAATCTTCTATATATGTTTATATCTCTCCCTCTCTCTCTCTTGATCCCTGCTTAGTCTGCTTTACACTACAAGTGATGAAGAGTATTATCAGTTCTTCATGAACTCAAATCTCCAGAGCTAAATCGAGAAAAAAAGAAGAAGAAGAAAAACACTACACGTTTTCTAGCATTGTTCATTTCAAGGTGGGCATATAATTAATTGTGTGTTCAAACATTAGTCCTATGTTTTTAGTAACTTCATAAAAGGGTAATCTTCATCTTTGTCCTTTTATGGAGTGTTGTTGGGCTGGCATGGTTTGGACATGTAGTCATTTTTTGGTATTTTGTTCATTTGAACCTTTATTTTTTTTTGTTAAAAAAAATAAACCTTTAATTGCCTTTTCTAGGCCAATGTCAGTAAAAGCTTCACTACCAATCCAACTGCCAAAAGGTTCCATAAATTTTCTCATACTGGCCCATGTGATTCAATAGGGTAGCTGCTCCTTGACCTCTAATGACTATAAGATCTGATTTTGATGTCACTGTTCTCTGTTTCATCTAAATTTTTTCGACAGAGAAGAAGAACAGTTGAAGGTAGGGAAGAACAAGTGTAGTTTCGTTTCCTCTTCTTGGTCATGAAATCTGTTGAATTAATTCACATCAGGGCAGAGATGGGTATTGAAACATGAAATGTGATGAAAAAGAAATGGCATTCCATTGATTCATAGTTGTATTATCCTTTTTCTTGTTTCCCTGTTATGCAAATTCATTAGCATTGAGATCTCTATTGAATCTTTTTTTTGATTTTCAGGGAAGGATGAAGAAGTCTCCGATATACCCAAATTATGATTCTGGGGATTATTATGGTTGTGAGTTCGATCTTCAGGTGGATTTTACTGAGGTAATGAAGATTTTTGCTTTAATTTGCTCTTGAAGTATGAGTTTCTGTTTATTGTAAACAAACTAAATTGAACCAAACCAAACCAAGTCTTATTTGGACTCATCATGGTGGATCTGACAAAATTTTACGTTAACTGTCAACTACCTAATGCAACCCTCCTCCTTTATCCTGACTTGAGCGTTGAATACAAAACTGGCAGAGTTACAGTTCATTGTAAACAGAGTTGTACATAAGGTTACAGTAAAAAGAACTGTCTTTTGTGCTCTGATTCTGCAAGATTGCATTGATAATCTTGTCATGGTTTGCTTTTGATTAGTTCTTGGAAGAAGCAAGGAAACATACAAGTGAAGGGAACTTTGATGTTGCCCCACCATATCCAGAAGAAGAGGGAAAGAAACAATTGGTTGAAGTTGGAGAGAGAAAGAACAAGAAATCATGGAAAAGTTCCCTATTTTCATGGTTGAAACCTGACAAGAAGAGCAAGCCCATTGTGGAACCATCAAACACCACTCCTTACATTTCTAAGCCAAAACGTGGTTATGTTTCTGGTCCAATACATGGTAATGGAGGAGGTGGTGCCATTGGCAGGCCTCGACGACCGACCTCAGGACCCATCATGAGTCTGTTCAACCCGACAAAGAAGGTTGAGAATGAGATACCATATATGTGTCTTGATCAGCTTAACAATCCTCATGGTTTTCAATCCTATGGGCCTGTCTATTTGGTTACTTAGCAAATCTACATCAGACCATTGTTGTCCAAGGATTGGCAAAAGATGAATCTATTTATTTTTCCTAGATTTTCTGGGTTAATCGGCAAGAATGTCGGTAAGTGAGAAGTGTAATACTACAGTGATTGTGTAGTGAAAGCAATATGTTTGTGAAAGTTGAAGGCAAGCTATGAATGTGCATACAATTGAGTTGTTTGATGCAAAAATATGGCTTGCCAGTGCTCTGTTTTATGATAGAAGAATACTGGAATTGAACTGTGATTCCTATCCCCACTGTTACATTTCCATGTTTCCTCTCTTTCCCTAAGCATAGCAGAGGGAGAGAGACAGAGAGAGAACTCGGCCTTGAGTTGTTTATGATATCTACGCAACGATTCAAATCTTGTCACACACACTTTTTTTCTCAAAAAAAAAACTTAATGATACATCACATGACAAGTATCTATAGAGAATCCACTCCAATTCATAACGACAAACATTTATTGTGGGCATCAAACTATGGAAACATATCATCACATTTTTTTTTGTTTGAAAATGTATTGACATTTATTATCTCAATAGGTGTTTTGTATCTACACAGCAGGGAATCAGACAAGCTAAATTTATTGACCCCAAAGCTACAATATGTCTAATCACTTTGAGGCAGTATAACAAACCTGTGTTGCTTATGGGCAATTATGTCTGGAACAATCAATGGGCATTGAGCATTAACTGCCACAATCAAACTAAATCTAATCTCCAAACAGCCCATTCAACTGTTCAATCTTTTAACTCTTGTCTGGCCAAAGTTCAGAGTACTATTGACTTTTGACCAAGAATCTGTTGCCTGATATAGGGTATCTACTATAGCATTAGGTCTACTATTGCACTAGTGAGAAAGAGTAATGTCAAAACCATTGGTGGTAATTGAAGAATAGAGAAAAGCCTAGATTAACATAAAATGAAATAGTAAAATAGATATGTTAGCTTAAGGTTTAAGAGAAATATGGTCCTTAATAAGGACTAAAGGTGAAAGACGATTCATATACTAAAATATTACAACAAGACTTTGTTGAGTTGAATTGAGTTTTACTTTTAACCATCAGAGAGAATTGACCACTCAATCAAGTTCACCTCCAAACTTGAGCAATTCAATTGGAACCATCATCGACCACAGTTGTATTTCAAACCCTAATAGGCTGTATGCATTCTCAATTAATTCCCACCAACACAAAAATGTATTAAAGAGGATCTAGATCCCGAGCATGCGTTTTAAGCTCTTTCAATAATGCATAAGTAGGGTAGATCACTAGATCAACAAGTTGGGATCCTTGTGCTGAAACAAATCAGAGCTATAAGACCACACAAAAGTTGGGAATTAAAGGGGGTGAAACAACCGAAATCTAGAAAAATTCAACAATTGTAGTTGCTCTAGTAACATTTGAACTGACATTGAACAAAAAGATAAGAACTATTACAATTCTCTTCCGACAGAGAAAATGGATTGTTCCACAATCTCAAACAGAGAAGCCTCCTATCTATTTACACAATACAATTCATTTCACCTAGTTCAAGAAAATAGCTTCAGTAATGTAGAAACAAGCTTCTTGTGGCAAGATGCAGAATGCTGAGATATCAGGCCTCGCTACTCTTTTCCCAAGTTAAGAATCAAATAACGCTGATAGAAATATATGTTTGGAGGCCTCATTCATCTCCTCCAATTAATGTGAAAATAGCTAATTGTTCATTCCTTACATAAATGTAAAGCACAAAGAACAGTCATTAACTATGGCCTCTGCTCCCTTGTTCGACATCAACACTACTGGGACTACAAGGACCACCAGCCCTTCTATCCCTGCTCAAAAGCCTCTTCAATGACCTCAATCGCGTTGTAACTGGCGACTTTGGTTCTTCTTCCTCATTAATCTGCCTCTGAATATCAATAACCAACATTCCATCAGGCCTATTGGATGAAGATGACGACAACAACAACGACGAAGAACTTGTTGGTTGAGAAGAATTAGCACCTTGAAGATTTACCTCTTCCAAACCAGTACCAAAAGTGCTAACCTGAGTTTCATTTCCCCAAAACAGCACATTTGTTGGGAAATTTGGGGACTCATTTGAATACCCATTTACAGATGAATTTTCTGCTATTGGTTCCTGAAGAATAGTCTCTAGAGTAGTTTCAGATTCAAGGGTGGTGGATTTCGATGACGACTGGTTAGAAACAGGGTTTCGACAAAGTGGGCAAGTAGAATGAGATTGAAACCACATATCAATGCAATCTACATGAAACCCATGATTACATTTTGGTAAGAGCCGAGCTTTTTCGCCCTTTGAGACCTCACAGAGACAAACTGCGCATTCTAACCCATCTTTGAAATCTTTGGGACTGAATACAACTACGGGTATGGATTTGAGAGCCGAGGGATCGAGGCCATGGCGGAGGCCGGTGACAATTGATAACTCTTGGTGGCCAGCAGCGAAGTCTAAGCGGCGACGACGGCGAGTGCGGACAGTGGTGGTAGCGTCCTCTTCTCGGCCGTACCAGAACCATTTGGAGTAGAGGTGGAGAAAGAAGAGAGAAGCCACCACCACGAAGAGGATTATTACGGCCACCACCATGATCCTGCCTGTTAGCTCGAGCATAGGCGAGTCACTATGACTCAGTGACTCCCCCATGTTTCGGATGAACTTTGTGCTCTGATTCTCACAATGTTATTGATTTGAACCAGAAAGATTTGAGTAGTCCTAAAGACAATGATACTTCAATATTTCCTGGGATTCCACCAAAATCTTGAGATTCAAAGCAAAACCCAGAAAGTATTTTCTGGTGTAACCTTGTAATTCTGCAAATCCTCAGGAAATTCAAGTTGGGGGAGGTAAATGGGTTGGTTTGAACATAAACATGAGAGAGAGAGAGAGAGAGAGATGAAATTTGAGGAGGAACAAGAGAGATGAAGTTTGGGATACTGAACTCTAGACAATGGGAAAAGAGGGTTGGCCCATTGGCCTTTTAAAAACAAAAGAGAAATGGGGATTTGGGAGAATTCAACTGATGAAGAAGATGATAGTAATTGGGTCTAACTGGAACTGAAAGAAGACACCAAACTAGTAGACCACAGAGGAGTTAGCGCTCAAAAGAGAGAGAATCGACGAAAAGACTACTTACCTGCTGCTTTTTTTGCTTGGGCAAGACAGAGAAGAGTTCAAACCACCCTCTCTCTCTCTCTCTCTCCTCCCCTTTTTCTTCCTGAGCTGAAACGCTTCTCTTTTGACCAGTGCCATGGCCGCGTTAAGAGTCTTGAGAGTTGTTTCAGTGGGACTTGGGTTTTTTTGTTTTAAGTGGAAAAAGACAGGATTGTAGTATTTAAAATTCCCTTTCTTGTTTCTTCACATCTCGCATAATTTACATGTTCAACTGAAATTTTGCTTCATTTGACCGCTTAAGCTCAAACTCAATTGATCCAGAATTTTCAACTTTGATTCAATTTTTTATTTAAATTTAAATCAATAATTATAAATTTTAATGTTAAGGTCAAACTCATTTTCGATCTAATAATTGTATTAAATTAGATTTTCAGATTATATTCTCAAATTAAGTTGAAATAGCATTTTCTATTGGATTGTTGGTGAGTCTCAAAATTAAATACATTTTACTATTAATTCAATGATCACAATGTATTAAAATTTTTAATTATGTCCTTAAATTATATTTAAATAGCATTAGTATAAAGATAATATATCATTTCCATTTCAACTTCAACTTCAGGATCCTAGTATTTGTAATCTCATTTCATATAAGTATACTAGAAATGATAAACCTGTGTCTGAAGACACTTTATAATACAAAAAATTGAACATTAAAATTAAAGTAAATTGAGAGAAAATAAAATAAAGACAAATGTGGATTAATGAATTTGTGTTTGCATTGCAGAGTATGTTGCTTGAGTTGTCTAATGTAAAAGGTGTGTAGAGATGTTTTTGAGCGGAACAAAAAATTTTGAGAAACATTTTGTATCATTGAACCAAAATAGATGAAAATTGTAAGGACGAATCGATAAAAAATTGGGCCTAAAACAAAAAATTAAAGGAGACTGCTGACTTTTAAAATAAATTTATTATATTATATTATTATCTTTTGAGATACAAAAGTATTTATTAATTTTTTTATTCAATTTTTTTGTGTGTGTTTTTTTTTGGGTAATATAGTATAGTTAATTCGAACACAATGTGATACTTGATATAATAGTAATATTGAATTTTACTAGATTTAATGTTAGTATAATCAATAAAAAGAAAAAAATATAAATAATAAAACTTAAGCTAAATAACAGACTCAAATAGTGTTTTATGTTGTTATTAATAACATAAATAAATTCTCAACAAACTCAAATCAAATCTAAAGAACTCCAAATTTAATATATTTTTAGTACAAAAATAAAATTGGACTTAGCTGAATATTAATATAAAATTGTTATTTGAACATTAGAGTTAATCAAACTTCCAAAAAATGGGGCCTTAAAAATTTGAGGCCTAAAGCAGTGGCTTCAATAGCTATGCAATTGAGTCGGGTCTGAAGAATTTTCTTCACTAATGTTGGTTGTTGTTATTTTTTTTTAAACTAATAATTCAATTTTTAAACTATAATATTAGATAAATAATTAATATAAATAGAAGGGTAGAAATCTTAATTATAATAACACATTTAAAATCCTTTTTAACTCATTTCATTTTTATTCACATATCATAAGAGTTTCAATTTGCTTTGGGCACCGAAAGAAGAGAAAAAAGATTGAGCGAGAATTGGGCCACAAATTGAGGCAAAAGTCAAGGGTTGTTGCTTCAAATTTCAGTGACCATAATTATTTAATTACACCAAATCATGACTTTGGAATCATTTGTCGTCCTAATTAAGACCTCCCTTAGCTCCTATTTTTCTAGCCATAGGTCCACACTAGTCTTAAGTTTGATACTTATAACACACTTCTGACGACTTGTTTGGTTGAAATATAAATAGAAAATGAGATTGAATAATTAGTTCTAATTCAATTCATAAAATGGTGTTAAATAGTTATATAACAAGTTTGGATTAAAATTAGAATAATATATAAATTTATAATTATAATATTAAATTTATGTTTGAATTAGTAAAAATTGTTACACTGAAAACAGATTTTAGTAATTAAAATTTAATTTTTGGTCGACTTTAAGCCTAAATTAATGTAGGACCTGCTCGTTGTTTCGAGTAAACTTTTGTGAGTTTGTATTCTACAATGTGAAGAGAATAACGTAGTATATTCATTCGCTCAAATCGAGTAAAAAATAAATGAAAAATATAGACTTAAAAGTAACTATCTTAAACCGTAAAAATAGAGGTTTGTGCAATATGAAATTTAACATCAATCTCACATTAGTTGAGAAAAGAATTCTACATGGGCATATGTAAGTCAAAGTGGCTCTATAGGATTTGGCTCCAAAGGATACCAAAATTTTATAAGCAGAGACGGGCCATGCTTGGACTCAGGTACGGGTGTGGGTGTGGTACACTTTAGACCAAACCTTATCTTTTTAGAGAAAATTTATTTAACGAATTGGGCATGAATTTTTTAATCGAAATTTAATTTCAGTGCCCGTTGGATTTAAAATTTGCATTGGTTCAGATTAGTGTTCCCTTCAATTCTAAATTTTAGTTATGTCTGTTCATAAATGAACAGTTAATCAATGGTATCTTATGACTGTGTTTGCTGAGTTAATTAATGGTATCTTCTGACTGTGTTTGTTGGGTTTGCATCCGTTTCATATGATGAATGTTTGGGTCAGTCATCATTCTCTATGTAAGTAACTCAATTACTTAATTATTTTGCATCTAATAAAATTCGTACTGAATGAGTTGATTGAAGTATTATTTCTATTCGCGAGAAGATTATTGTATATGGGAAACAGATGTTTTGATTTTCATAAATACCATGTGTGGAAGCGAAATCTATCTTATGGAAATAATGTCAAACACTAACCTTGATCTATTTAAAATTCAATAACAGCTCATGTTCTGCAAACGGGTCAATCTATCCGTTGTTTAAATTATAGATTTATTGTGTTTCTGTTTTGTTCACATTTGTAATTATTCGCACATACTATTGTAATTGTTTTGTTCTTCACTGTTACTGTTTTGTTTTAAACTACATGTTTCGAATAAAAAATTACAATAAGTGATTTTACTATATTTAAAATACCACAAACAATAATCTTAAGACAAATTTCTATTTGTATAATTATTTGTTGTGTTTTTTATACATGTTTTAGTTTTTAAACTGTTTTAAAATATTACAAATTGTTAAACCTTGTTTTTAACAATCTGTGGTATTTAGGAGACACTTGAAAAATTTTGTAAAAAATTGTATGTTTTGTTTATGTGTTTAATTCAATTGGTTACGCAAAACAGTTACACCAAAACAGTGATTCTCTTCATACATATGATTTAAATTGTTATACCAAATAGTGATTATGTTCGTGCATATAATTTAAATAATTACACCAAACAATAACATTGAAACAACGATGCAAAATAGTTATATTGAAGATTAATATAGATTGTCTCCACTTTAGACACCCCTAAGAACATGTTTGGTTCAAATATATCTGAAGGATGGGATTGAATAATTTGTTCTCATCTAATTCATAAAATGGTGTTAATAAAAATGCTATTTAATCTTACTATAATATAACAAGTTTGGAATAATATATAAATTTGTAATTATAATATTAAATTTATGATTGGATTAAGTAAAAATGTATGATATTATATTAAAAATGATAAAATAAATATTGAGGGTAAGGATTTGTATAATATATAACTTTTATGTAACTTTTGTAAGGATAATAAAGACATTGTATTTTTAATATTTAACTTGTTAAAAAGAATATCACCTACTACATATTATTTATTATTATCTAATATTTATGTATTAAATGATAATAGTGAACCAGATCGAAATTAATTAAAATTAATACCGGGTCATGATCAATAATGCTAGATTGACCAAATTTTGGGATCAAATTTGGAGCCTAAATGATATGACAGTTGACTTGGACTTCTTTGATTGGTGTCATGTCATTTGGGTCCCAATAAAAACTTCAAATAACCAATTGTCATGTCGTTTGAACTTCATATTTGGTTCCAAAATTTGATCAGTGTATCATTACTCGATCACGATAACTTTATCCAAACTTAATATTATATTATTATCGAATTAATTTAATCTAATTCACTCTCTTAATACCTAAATCAAACATACCTTAAGAGTCAGTTACTCTTATTTCTCATAAGAAATATTTTTAAATTAATTTGAATTACGGTGAATAACTCAAAATTTAAAGTAATAATCGATGCAATCTTAAACACCTTATAACGACTAGCCAGAGAAAAAAAAAAGGTGGAATTAACTTCGATAACTTTAACATAAGAGTCAAAAGGACAAAAAAAAGTTCAAATTAACTTTGAAGTTTGCCTGGTCATGCACAAGTCAAGTGCATGCATAATATAAAAATATCAAACTCCATAATGAGGTTTCATTTAGAGCCACATGATTAATTTGTAGTCGTGCAATACGTTTAAGGTCAACTTCAGGTGACTGCATAGGTAGAACCCAGTAAATAATTAAAATACGGGAGAATTATCC